ATTCCTTTCTCCTAACTAGAAGAGATGCATATCCCTGTGAACCAGTTTTTTAACCAGGAGCGATTCCCACTCACTTCTGATACTTTATTGACACGAGTTCCTATTTCAATATATGTCTAATTCAAAGCTTAGCCACGTGATAGCTCTTCATTAGCGAAAAGGTCCAAGTGATATTTTGATTGACGTGTTGTTTAGGATCCTGAGGTTTTTTAACACCTTTTCTTTAGCTTAACTGGCGAAGATATTCTAGGAATTTGCCCTTCAATTCCAAATTCTTTGATGTGCCGCCAGATGCCGTGCAAAAATATCACCTCTTGCGGCTTCTCGTGTTCCCTCACTGACTTCCCGAAACTTCAAGAAACGAGAACGAGAAGCTGGAAGTGCTATTGAGAGTGTGGCCAAGCGGTCGTGTGCCGCGTTTACGGAGATGGAAAGGGACCTCTCAGAGAATGACGGTCAAGGGGAAGGGCCAGTGGCAGTGGGCATGTCCTACGAAATGGGATGGAGAAAGCGTGTCAAGAGCTGATTCCTCATCCGGAGTGGGGACTGCAGTGGGGCTAAAGACGGGAAAAGTGATCAGCTATGCCACGCGGAATACCTAATGCCGAGTGTGTCAAGAGGCTGTTGCTAACAACAGGGAGGCCACCGTGCACGACTGCCGTCGTAATCACCAAGGGTCATCCAAAAGTATGGAGGCCAACGTTGCAGTGCAGCTTTTTGGTGATGCAGTCGAAGTTGGCGTACGTTACTCGACGTATGTTGGTGATAATGATAGCACAACAGAGAATCGGTTGCAGTCATTGGTAGCCTATGACACAGAAAAAGTAGCGACATCAATCACGCAAGCCGCACGTTGGGTTCCAGACTGTATGCTGTCAAGTCCAAAGTGAAGGGTCTCAGCCCAGCAGTTATTGGATATATGCAAAGATGCTTCACGTATTGCATAAGACAGAACAAGGGAAAGGAGTCATCCTTGTTGGAGGAGCTGAAGTCGATAGTGCCACACGCGTTCGGAGAACACACTCTTTGCAAAGAATGGTGTACATACAAGCAGGACCCAGAAAACTACAGTCATGGCGACCTTCCTGGTGGAAGAGATCTTCAGGTAAATTCACAATTTGTCAATCTCGGATGGAACGCTGCTACCTCTTACCAGTAGCGAGGGGTGTTGGCGTTGGTTTTCGTACATTCTACACTTTTCAAGACAAGAGCACTATAGCCAGTGAATAGTAGATGAGCTCTACAAAAGATACGTTACCGGTATATACCGTGGGATGGCCTATAAAAGTTCTACTGAACATCTATCACGGAATAGATAGCGAGTATGGGAGCCAATCAGATTTCAATAATGCTTGTCGAAAGGCATGCTTTGCGGTCGTTATGCTTTAACTCACAAAATGTGAAAATTGCACTAGAATAAATCTTTGAATAATTAGCAGAGAAACTATACTTCGCAAACTTCGCGCAATATTGTTAGATAAAGGCAATTCACCAAAATATGTCCGTATGATACGAAAATCAAAACCTCGGCCGCAAAGCATCTTGGTCGACAGGCATTATTGCTTTTTTCAAAGTGTTTTGGTGTCGCTTGGATAATGGAAAATTGTGTCATTTAGGGAGGGATTAGGGAGACGATCTGCGAGCTAGTATCGAGGATGCTATGAAACCTTTTCTCACTGAAGAGGCAGCCAAAAAGCTTGCTCCATGTGGGTCCAGCCAGCGAAACGAATGCGTCAACAGTTTGATTGGTACGAAAGCACCGAAAATTCGTCACTACGGTGGATCTGAGAGTAGCGACTTCCGCACGGCGGCAGCAATTTCGCAATTCAATGAAGGGTATGGATATGTTAACCAGGCAGCGCAACTAATGGGTGTAGCAGGCAATGCTGTGACTGAAAAGCACACCAAGGTGATGGACAAGAAGAAAGATAGAAATAGTCTAAGGCAGTCAACCAAGGCGTTTAAGCGAGCTAGGAGAAGTGCGAAGAAAAAGAAAACCCAAAAGACCCGATCATTGGAACATAACGAGGGCGTGACCTATGAGAGCGGTGTAGGACTAACACAAAGTGAGGCTGACAGATTGACAATCACGAATGGTACTTTGAATGATCTACGATCGAGTATTACGGACAAGGAATTCGATGACTATGTGAGCATAGCGAGCCTACAAGAGAGTACAGAAAATGAGGTACTTATAGCGGCTACACCCTTTATCGAATTTATCCATAGGTATCACCATAACTTTTCAAAATGGTAATAAATTGTGATTTGTTATCCCTTATAGACTTCCGATGTTCAAAAACTCCAAAATAAAGCGAAGGTACTTGAAATACACGTCGTTATACTCCTTTGGGGAGGGGATGTGGGTGCGCGCCCGAAATCCCGTCGTTGACGCCCGATGTTGAATCTAATTCTTTCACTGTTATATGTTTTCAGAAGGAGACGGGGACACCGAATGACCCTTTTGTGCTTGCTATATGTGATACAGAAACAACGGGGCTTGGTATGGAGTGCGAGATAATTCAACTGTCGTGCTTAGTTCAGGGGAAGGCGCCGTTTAACCAGTATCTGCTTCCAGACAAGAAAATGATATCGGAAAGTGCGACCAAGATTCACGGAGTGTCTGTAACATATCAAAATGGGGCGAAGCAATTGCACAAAAATGGTAACCAGTTGCCAGCTGTGTCACAAGCTCAGGGATTGGGGGATTTTCTTAGCTTCATAAAAGAGGTTGGAAGTGAGACGCGGGTTGTTCTTGTTGCCCACAACGGTAATCGGTTCGACTTCCCCATTTTGCTACGTTCGATGAAAGAACAGGGTCTACTTAAGCAGTTTCTAGAGTGCAGGCCGATGCTTTTGGATTCACTAGAAGTAATCACAGAAGAAAAAAAGGCGAGGGGAAGTCATCTAAAGGAGTGCAAGGGGAAATCTCTTGCGAGAAATTGTTCGGCGAGCAATTTAACGCCCACGATTCCCTAGAGGAGGTGGTTGCACTCAGAAGAGTCCTACACAGTAACAAGTTACAACAGGCTCTGGAAGGGATGGTAGCGTTGGCTAGGCAAGCAAATAATTTTTGTAAAGACATGGCTATGAAAGCTGTTGCCAAAGGAAGAAAGTCTACCCTACACAGGCTGGGCATTTCCGATGTCATGAAGGACAAAATAAGCAAGGCCGGCCTAGACATGAACACCCTCAGCAGTTTGTATAGTGCAGGAGGTTCAAGAGCCTTTCTAACAATTTTAGCATTACCTCCAAGCAAAACGAGCTCGAAACCAAGAGTCACAAAAAAACTGACAGTTCTTACAAGTCTAGTTAATTTTTTCGCTACCCGCTAACGGATAAGTAATGAGTTGGTTTAATTATTGGTTTGCATTAAACCCATGTAAAATCATATTTAGTAGATTTAGTGTGTAGCATTTCTTGATTTTATTTTTTTTCAGAGGCACAAGACGCACAAGAGTTAAAAAAAATGAGTTAAACTTCTATGTATCACGCGATCGCCTGTCTCAGGCCGTACGAAACTATTTTCTCACTCGAATAGCATTCAACACTCCGGCCATTTTCTTTCTAGAGTTTTTAATCCTCGGCATGATGCACACTCAGCTGGTTGGAGACGTTGCGTGACGGGAATCCCTTCTATTTTTTCATTCGAATTATCATATGTCGGTCAGCATTCGGAAGTCAACCAAGCGTGGTCATTGCACGCGTGCTGAACAAGAATGCTGTATAATGACAGACTAGAAACAGTAGACAACTCCCAAAGCACAATCTCGGCCAAAACGCTGAAAATGATCAATGTTTACTCAAGTTTGGGCTTATAGAAGATAATGTCACAGTTTTTCAATGACCATGAAATTCAGTCCGGGTAGTTAGTTAATCAATCGTGGCCCTGAAAAAATTTGAAGGAAAAAAAAACTACGAATTTTTAAGAAAATGCTTTTTTTGTGAGAAGGACTCTCAAACGCCGACAAACGTCAACAAATAGCGAAAACTATAATTTGTATATGTTTGCTTTGCTCGAAATCGCTCGCATTTACAAGGCCCTAAAGCTTTTTGCTGACTTGCAAGGACCCATCTGTTATAACGATCCCCAAAATAAAGGGATCAGTCTCATAGTTCATTAGATATAATCGTGTAAAGTTTGCTTATCATTTTCGTATGAATTATGACCTCAATTTGGAAACGGCTGAATTTCTCGAATTGGGTCTTTGCGATTTTGTTGAAACTCTGTCCAGCGCAAGGCACTAATGCGCACTATGTGTAGCCGAGAGATTTTCACGAAGAAACGCCGGCAACAGCAGATTTTCGACTCAGACCTCAAAGGGGCGTGGCATTATAACCACGTGACATTTACTCCGATCGCCAAAAATTTTATGTTGTATTGTAGATTGATCTATATGTTAACCAATCCATGTGTTAGACTTACCATAAAAGTAAAGATGGGGATACCAGAGAGCTTCAAAGTAGGGTGGTACCCCCCCAAAAAAACTGGGTCGAGTCACCTTAAGTTGTGATTAGTTAGCCGGGCCTCAGGATAGCGCTATTCACCGGATAAATCACTATCCAGCGGATCGAAGTATAATTGGGAGACCAACACGCCATTTTACAGTTGTGTCCTCAGTGTTTTGTCCTTTGAATAGAAGCTAGCCTGGCAGTGACCTTGTTTTGTTACAAACCTTCTTGTTTTTCATACGTAAATGATCATTTTCACGGGATTGTTAGCATGAGAATACCACGGTTTGCATGCGAAAAGCAGGAAGATTTGTAACAAAACAAGGTCACCGCCAGCCTCGCTTCTATCCAAAGGCCAGGGCACTGAGCACGTAACTGTAAAATGGTCTATTGCGTTATCCACTTAACAGAGATTTGTCCAGTAGATAGCGCTATCCACCTTTTGAATAGCTGGGGCTTGGTGTGTAACCTTTATTTTGATATTGAGCTTAGGTATCACTTGGACATTAGAAACCCCTGATGCCCAAATGAAGGGAGTTTTCCTTTCTTTTGCGTACCTTCTCACTAATATCATCATTTGTTAATGTTTAAATTTTCCTAGTACCCAGCGTTGCACCTTCTGGCTTAAGAGTTTCTAAGCTGCATCTCACTGAATTAAAGGTACAATGGAATCCAATACCTCAGCCTAGTGTAAATGGGCGACTACTGGGATATTTAGTCAACTACCAAGAGTATCCCTATTATCGGTATAGCACGAGACGAGTCAACACGAGTAGCCCAGATGTCCATATGCTGGTGTTGAGTGGTTTGAAGGCAGCACATCCCTACAGAGTCTGGGTGGCTGGGTTCACACGCGCGGGAACTGGACCTCAGTCATCTAAATTCTCCGTCACAACAGGTAAATTGAACAGATCGACAACAAATCTTATAGACCATAGACAGTTTTTCTGCCAGAACTTGCCATTGCGGGAATCTCGCGTTGCAATAAGAGTTGGCCCCAGAATAAAGAAATTTAAAGGAGCTATGTCACACACTGCGCATGTGCGCGATGAAGCGTTACATTTTGAAAACGTTCGACAACTTTTTCAAGTTCTGCGGGTGATTCAATATCAACAATTGATCCTTATTTATCGCAGCTATCCGTTAACTGTTCGCATAGTTATACGTTAGTTACTATTGTACAGCCCTTTTAAAAGGTTCCTGTGTGTTTTTGTTTCAATGACTCTGATCAACGGCTTATTTGAGGTCAACTGTTTGGAGGTAACAAATGTCCTCTCATGGCGGCCGCCGATCAGGAAGCGGCCGCAAGAAAATCTTAGCGAGCAACTCAGCGAGGCTTCAGTTTTGGCGTAAGACTCGTAAAAGGATTTCGTTGGATGGAACACTTTTCTAATCTTGGGTTTCTACGAGGATCATCAAGTGCGGATATGACAACGATTCCATGTTTGCTGCCCATCTTTTGTAAATTATGTACATATTTTTTTAAAGTTATTTAAAAATAATTTATCACTTATCGTTTACTCATTTTATCGCTGTTTATTGTTCATTGTATTCTTACATTTTAAAATATTCTAAAACCGTTGCAATATATTTGTGAAACTCGCACTTGAAAATGACCCAAGTGAGGTCGAAACATCGTGGCCTTTTATCGATGATTTTTATGAAAAATGCATATCCAAGAAATTTCTGAACAATTATTGTGCCTGAAAAGTGTTAGTTTATTGTTTATGAAATCTTTGAGAAATAAATTCACACTTTTGCAGCAAAACTAAGTGACACATGTGTCTGTTCTTTTCCGGCCGCCATCTTGGTGCCCATCCGAATGGGCACCAGCATGGTCACCTCCAAACAAAATTATTTAAATGTGGGTGAAACATTTCTCCGAATATTTCGCATATGAAACAATGTACGAAACTGAATCTTGGCGAGGATCTTACTTATCTCCTTTCATTTCCCTGTTTTTGGACCATATCTATTGAACGATTTCTTTATTTTTAATGACTTGACATTGAAAACCAGCAACAACAGGGAACATTTCCCGTTTGCTTTACAGGTTGTGGAGGCAACTTGAATGGCTTGTTTGGAAACTTTCAAGTCGGCAGATCTTTCTTTTCTCGTACGCTACGATGCAACTGGACAATTGGAAATGCAGAGATCAACCAAGCTGTTGCACTTGTATTATTACCGGAATTGTATCTGTCTTACAGGTGAGTGTAATATATTTATGGACAGTGCTGCAATTGATCAGTGTACTATAAAATCTCCGAATTTTGTGACCATTGAAAACTTTTTAAGTCGTCTGCCATAGGGGCAATATTGAGTAAATATTGAAACGATATCATATCTGTCATATCTGATCTAGTTAAGTTTTTGGTCTTGGGTTTCCTACTGTCTCAAGTTTAGCACAACATCAGTTAACCATGCAGCACGCTAGAATTTACCTCGCTTCGTTGCCCTCCAGAATCTATTTACTATTTTTTTCTTCCTTTCCACAACATTACCATATTTCGGAGAGATTTCAAAGGGAAACTAGGCAAGGTAAATTCTTGCGTGCTGCATGGGAATTTGATGTTGTCCTAAACTTGATACAATAGGAAATCCCAAAGCAAAAAGTTTTCCAAATCTCTGACACTGCTTCAATATTTACTCAATTTTGCGCCTATGTAAGACGACTAGAATAGTTTTCAACGCACACGAATTTTGGAGATTTTATAGTACACTGATCAATTGCAGCACATAATGTTTTTACAAGAAATCTATTGGCGAATTTTGGTTTAATCGCTGTTTTCGTGAAATTAGCCTTGAAAATTACAAAAAGAGCTTACCATTGCGTTTTACCCTGATTGACATGTTAGGTAGGTAAATAGATCCTTTATTTAAAACTCGGTAAATCATCCTCAATAATAGGGTAAAAATCTAATTGCAATTAATTAGACTAAAAAACTAAAACTATCGACATACCGTTTTACAAGACTACCGAGTGAGAGTCCGACGACTCAAATAGATGATTGATTTGCTCTTTAAATTTCCTGATTGATTTAATTTTTCTCACATTTTCGGGTCGTTTCAAGTAGTTATTACGCGGCCTGGGCAATGTCAATTTATGAAAGGAATTGCGCAAATCAGAAACTGTGCTTCGTTCTTGAAATAGGTTCAGTAAGTACACTGGAGCTTGTTCATTTAGAGATTTAAACCTCATTATCGCTCTATGCTTCTTTCTTCTTATAACTAATTTGTCCCATTTGAGTATATCAAGAAACAGGCTCAAGCTCGTCTCATAGTTGGCCTTTAAAAATACTCTAGCTGAACGGTTCTGTAACTTTTGTAATTTGTCACCCAGTTGATCACTAAAGGCGTCCCAAACGAGGCTACAGTAGTCAAAGTGTGGTTGAATTAAGGAGTTACAGACTAGTGCCGCGGTAGATTAGGAGATAAGGGGCCTGATACGTAAGTGTAAAGGCACCTATAGCCAAAGTTACCTTCTTACACAATTCGTTAACTTGACTAGACCAGGAAAGCCGATTGTC